TATATTTTAATAATATTTAATTATCATTTTTGAATGTTAACTCTATATTATTACCATATTATGATATGTTATTACAGCATTTATCATTTCTAATTGTTACAACATTACCAGTAAGTTTTTGCTTCTCTTTAAATAAACACAAAAATATTGAATCTCTTTTATTTTAAGCAAAATTCTGAAAACCTTTTTACTGAAACCTAAAATAATAAAAATTGTCATTCGTGGAATATTGATTCACTATTGCATTGTTATATATTCATTCATTCATTCATTCATTCAAAAGTCTTCATAAAACCTGTTTGTTAAGGTTAAAAATTCTATAACGTTTAAAAAAATGAATGAAATTTCTCCCTTTTTCTCTAGTAAGAGATACATTTTCTATCAAAGAAGCATGATCATTCCTTGCACACACGTATGCACCGTCTGCATATGATCCTCCCCCACCCGCACACTGTACACACACATACAATGCGCACACACACTCTCACACACCATCCCCCACAAAGATTACGAGTCAGCAGCTTCCTCTCAGCACTGACTGATTGGCGCTGTTGTGTTGCCAGTGGGCAGATGAGCCTCTCTCTCTCTCTCTCTCTCTCTCTCTCTCTCTCTCTCTCTCTCTCTCTCTCTCTCTCTCTCTCTCTCTCTCTCTCTCTCTCTCTGTGTGTGTGTGTGTGTGTGTGTGTGTGTGTTATAATGCGTCTACTGGACACAGACAGCCACGGATGACTCAGAGTCAGTAGTCATCAGTTTTGTTTGTGTGCATTTTGTGGATGCTATAGAATTCTTTGTTCCTGCATGATGGGAAGATGGAAAGATTATGTGATCTATTATTCCTTCAGATCTGTCTTTGAATGATGTGATATATCTGTAGAATGGAAGCCTATAGATTTCAGCTTTGTGATGAATCATTACACAGATATCTGGAACATACTTGATTCTGATTCTGGTTAATCACAGCATTTTACAGTCCAGTATTTTAATGTAAAGGCTAATGTACAGGAAATCTATTTGCATCCTTCTGCAGTCTCTTTCTACTCACAGAATTTTTTTTAACTTAGTATGTAATGTCAGTTTTGTTTGTTTGTTTTTTCATTAATTCAATTGTTTTCTTTTCAGTTTAGTCCCTTTATTAATCAGGGGTTTCCACATCGGAATAAACCGCCAACTTATCCAGCATATGTTTTACGCAGTGAATGCCTTTCCAGCTGCAACCCTTTCTGGGAAACATCCGTACACACTCACTCATACACTACAGCCAATTTAGCTTATTCAATTCACCTATAGCGCATGTCTTTGAACTTCATGCGGAAACCTCGGAGGAAACCTACGCAAACACCGGGAGAACATGCAAACTACACACAGAAATGCCAACTGACCCAACCGAGACTCGAACCAGACCTTTATGCTGTGAGATGATTGTGCTACCCACTGCGCCACCATGACACCCTTTATTTATTTATTTATTTATTTGTTCAATACCTACAATTATTAAAGGGACAATGTGCAGTCCTCTGATCATTATCAGAAAATAAACCACAGAGGATTCTGATCAACCTGTCTGGGTTTATTTTGAGATAATTTCCAGCTGAGCTTATGTTATCTGTCATATTTGAAAACAATATAAATTAAACCTCAAGGTTTAACACTATTGTTGTACTTATTAGACAATAGCTTTTTTCCCCGGATATAAAAAAACCTTGCGTACATGAAAATAAATTACAAGAAGTATATTTATTTGTATAATACAGTGTTGTTGTGTGTATATATACAGTTGAAGTAAGAATTAATAGCCCCCCTAAATTATTAGCCACTCTGTTTATTTCTATCCCCATTTTCTGTTCAATGGAGATAAGATTGTTTTCGACACATTTCTAAACATAATAGTTTCAATATCTCATTTCTAATAACTGATTTATTTTATCTTTGCCATGATGACAGTAAATAATATTGCACTAGATCTTTTTCAAGACACTTCTATACAGCTTAAAGTAACATTTAAAGGCTTAACTTGGTTAATTAGGTTAACTAGGCAAGATAGGGTAATTAGTCAAGGTATTGTATAATGATGGTTTGTTCTGTAGTCTATCAAAAGTATATAGCTCAAAGGGGCTAATAATATTGACCTTAAAATTGGTTTTAAAAAATTAAAAACTGCTTTTATTCTAGCTGGAATAAAGCAAATAAGTCTTTCTCCAGAAGAAAAAATATTATCAGACACCCTGTGAAAATTTCCTTGCTCTGTTAAACATCATTTGGGAAATATTTTAGAAAGAAAAATTCAAAGGGGGTTTAATCATTCTGATTTTAACTGTATACAACAACACTGTATTATCCAGCTAAATAGACCAATTTTTGACAATGTCACTTTGTAAAGAAATACTATATATGTTCTTATGTGAAGTTCTGTAACTAGTCTAACTTACTTTTGCAGTTTTGGTTGTCTCATGCATACTTATTTAGGCCTGTCACAATATAATTTTTTGTTGTATGATATATTGGACCAAAATACATTGAGATAAACAATATAATTGTCATTTAAGATCATTTTATGCCAATAATATAATGCCAGAATGACAATATACTATCATCGCAATGCAAGTACACTCTTCCAAACACATAATAGTTTATTCTTAAGAGTATTTGATTTAAATGAAGTCATTTTATGATTTTTTTAATTTGGCACTGGAATCAGAATGTGAAAACACATTTCTTAAACAAATGTATTATAAAAACTGTTAACGAAAAAAGCAAGGTAAAAATAACAGAGGCTGCAATGTCTGCTACCAGATGTATTTTCAGTTGTCAGACACCCACATGAAATTTTACTGGAGTAATTCAAAGTAAATACTATAGAGTTTTTTTTAACTATACTGACACATCCAGTAGCGATAGAGAGTTTGTGTTATCGGCTAAAATGTTGCTAAAATTGTTTTTTTTTTTATGTATGGGATATTACATCACCAAAAGTGATTGAGGTCATGTCTATGTGTTGTGTGATAACTTAATATATTAATTACTGTGACAGGTCTATACGTATTATGTGCATACCTGTAGACTGAACATGTTATAAACTATTTTTATAAATCACATTTGTGTAGTTTACAATAACAATACAACAAAAAACATCACTTTTTTTCAAAGGCACCATTGTTTTGTAAATTATTGGCTAAACCACATAAAACATGCCATGAATATATTCCTCTGAAAAATGTAAATAAAAGGAAAGAACAATTGTAGAAATTATCCTTTTGAGGAGTGTTAGTGTGCGCCTAATTTGTTTCACATTCCATACTATACCAATCAGCTGTGTTTTCACTCACTGTAATAGAAAAGGCTCGTTTAACCTCAAGCTTGGGTTTTCCCTCCATGCCTTTGCCTTGACTGTAAATACAAAATCCCCATGTTTAATTCCAAGTGGAAAAATCTGCAAAACAATTTTTACAGTTCTGATTTTATAGTAGGAAAGAGATTCTCTCCCCTCCCATTAACCACAAGAAAAGTCTGAGGATTACGTCTTTGAAGACATGCCCCATCAACAAAAGAAACAAACTCGTAGTAAACAGTGTCTTGTCCCCAGTCATTGAACACAAAGTGTTGATCTCATTCCCTCCCATATATGAGCACAAGTTCACTTTACATCATTGAGGGAGAAGAGAGGGTTCTTTGTTTATTGCACAGTGCTGGCTCAGATCAAAGTCCAGCCATTGTTATGTGTATGAGAGCGAAGAGCACCTACATCAACATCTGTCCATGAACTTTTGTCTTTAGCATAGCACCAACAAAGTCTGATTTGATGGCAGAGAACGATTTCACCTCAGGACATTTAACAGTTGTTTTGACTTCTATACACTCTCAAAAATAAAGGTACGAGAGCTGTCAATAGGGTGGTACCTTTTTAAGATACACATTTGTACATAAAGGGTTTATATTGGGCCCCTTAAAATATATAGTAGTACCCAAAACATTTAAGGGGTACAATTTTGGATACTAATATGTATCCCTGAGGTATTAAAATGGACCTTTCAGGTACAAATGTGTACCTTTTGAAAAGGTATAACCCTAGTGACAGCTCTCGCACCTTCAATTCTGAGAGTGCAGCTACATTTGTAAAGTGATTTACTCACAATAATGATTGTTATCTTCATTGGAGACTTTTTCTCCACAAACACTGATCATGAATCTCAACAATTAGCTTAATTTGGTTTAGTAATCAGCATTCCATTTCTAAACCTGTTAGATTGACAGCTCTCATAATATAGCACCATATAGAGAGTTATATAGAACTTTGAATTACAGATCTTACAAGTTGCTTCACACCTTTTCAGAGGAAAAACAAGAAAGCAATGAGCCCAGGTTATTATTTCCTCCCGGCTTAAATGCACTTACAAGCACTAACAGTGCAAAGGCCACAGTAGGCCAGCCAAGCTTTTGCAGGCTCAGGCATTTACCTAATTATCTAGCATTAGGTCAGATGGAAGGCTTCCATATCTGTCTGTGTCTGTCTCTTTCTGTCTGCCTCACTCTCTCTCTATCGCTCTCTCTCTCTGCAGACTCAGGATGGATGTAGTAGGGATAAGCCATAAGAGTCCTAGAGCCCATTAGGCTTTAAGGTGCCTCACCTGAGGGATAGATTATGTTTACAAACCAACATGTTTCTACCTGTTGCTGCATTACTATTTGGAACAAACAGGGGGCACTAGAAAAGATGCACCTGGAGGGCTGACTTGGGCAGGGAGTGGAATATCAGATGTCTTTGTTACATAAATGAAGTTGGTCACTTGACCTTACTGACATGCGCCACCTTTTCACTTTTTATTTCCCGCTGTATAGAACTTTCGGTGCTGACCTGATAAAAGATTAACTGGCACTTTACAGTGTTTGTTTACGGTCATTTGAGCTGTCGAGTTCTCTCAACACACTCCAAGTGCCCTGAACAATGGCAGTGCTGATGGTAACATTGGCAATTTCCCCTGTTTTTTCTGTGTGTGTGTTTGCAGGTCAGTGCCCGGGGATTCGCTCCATTGTTACAGTTTGCCTATACGGCTAAGCTGCTGCTCAGCAGAGAAAACATCCAGGAGGTCATCCGCTGTGCCGAATTCCTGCGCATGCACAACCTGGAGGACTCGTGCTTTCGCTTCCTGGAGGCCCAGCTGCGCAGTGAAGAGGACGGCCTGCTCCTGTGCCGCAAGATGGCGTCGGAGAGCAATCACTCAGAGGATGAGGGCATGCAACCTGAGTTGCTGACGACAACTGCAGTGACGCTACCTGGTTCTCCACGATCTCGTCTTTGTGCCGAGGCCTTGCACTCCTTGCGGCGACCGGACCACGAGCAGCTGGCAGGAACGGAAGATTTCACTGATGGGCCGATGGACTTTGAGCGACATGGCACCTCAGACCTGCCACGATGCCCTAAGTACAGAAAGTACCAGTTAGCATGCAACAAGCACAATAACGACGCCTCTTCACACACCAGTACCTCAGGTTTTCCAAGCACATTCAAGGAGATGAGCAGGCCGGCTGTGATGCAAATCAAGCAAGAACCCCGCAGCGAGGAAGAGTCCATCTCACTTTGCCTGTCAGGGAATGAGCAGGAGGATGGTGAAAAGGACGATGTGGCTGAGATGGACCTGGATGGTTCCATCACAGTGGACCAACCAAAAGGCAGAAGCAAGTCACCCACCTGCCTACGGGCTCTGTTCAAGAAGGACCTGCCCAGCACACCCCAGCAGCTCTTAGCTAACAGACTCATCAACGCCCAGGATAAAGGAACCACTCAGGGAGACCACAAAAAAGACTACAGGCCTTCGCTTGGCAATGAGTTTGGCATGCCTGTGGCGTTCCCCAAAGACACTGATGGTTTCCCGCCAGGGCTTTCGTTGAAGTCGCCTTCCTGCGATGGTGTGTGCAAGCAAGAGGTGGAGCCGGACCGCCGCAGTGTCATCTTCTCCTCAGGGGCCTGTGACCGACTGGGTACACCCACCCACTCCCATCCCAGCGGGAACTCATTGGAGAAGGAGCTCTCAGAACACATGCCAAAGGGATTGTGGGCCGGCGCCAGCCAGTCCCTTCCCAGCTCTCAGACCTACTCCCCTAGTACCACAGCCAGCGACCCGCCCTTGCTTTGCCGCCAAAGGCCCAATACCAGCTGCCCAGTGCCAATTAAGGTATGCCCACGATCGCCCCCTTCAGAGACCCGCACTCGGACCTCCAGTTCCTGTTCGTCCTATTCTTACGCTGAGGACGGAAGCGGGGGGTCCCCCTGCAGCCTGCCGCAGTTTGAGTTTTCACCCTCGCCTTGCCCCAATGTGACGCGGTGTCTCACCTCTGACCAACAAGAGGCAGGTGGTGGGACGGATGCACTATTTGCACGGGTACGGCCCAAGATAAAGTGTGAGCAGTCATATGGAACCAATTCCAGTGATGAGTCAGGGTCCTTTTCGGAGGGGGACAGTGAATCATGTCATGTTCGAGAGCAAGGCCCTGAGGTGAGTCTGTTGAATTTTTTTTCTCTCATTGTGTTTACCAATAATTTTTTCCAGAACCTCACTATGCATTTTCTAGCTTCCATTCATGCAGAAAGCAATTAGATAACGCATGCTCCTTCATGCTATCAGAGACTTCCCTTTTGATCTCTATTTACTTCTTCATTGAATAAAGCTGCTGACTGCTAATAGAGCAATAAACACTGTAATCATTTTCATGACTGAACTGACAGGAACATGAATAGCTGCAATGATATTACTCTGACCTTTTGGAGCAAACTCAATTTGACAATGGATTGCTGTTGTGTATAGTGACAGAGAAGCAGAGAAGTGGATACATATTTTGCAAAAGCTGAGCAATGACTGAAATAAGTAGAAAGCGTTAAAAGGGATCATTCAGTTAAAATCATACAGGCTTTGAATAAACATGAATGTAAGTACTTGTTGACCGCCCGTGATTTCGGACAAACATTCCCTTTGTTCATATCAAAATACGATCAAAACACTGACTCTATATTTCACATTGTCAGTGTTTACATGGTTACTGCCTTTATAGGGCAGTGCATAGTACAATGAAGTTGTGAAAATTAAAGCAAAAAAGGGCAAAAAACAATTACTTAGGAATGGTTTAAAATATATACATTTGTAGATTTATGGAGGCAAAACAGTAATGTTCAATAGGAAATGAATGCTGAATGCAGAATAGGAAATGCCAATATGTTGCTCGCATACCAGAGCACTATAAGGGGGTGCATATCTGTTCTGTGATTGGTTAATACAAAGCAAGCTACTTTGTTTAGTTTTTTCAGCAGGGACTACTGCAATAATTACACTACTAATATTACCAACTATCTTCAATTTAAATGAATGTTATTCTTTAGAGTTGACTAATCTGTTTAAAAAATACAAGAAAAAATTTGAATGGCACCGTCCATGAAATATCAAGTAGTGCAAATTAATTTTTATATATATATTTATTTACTTGTTTGTTTGTCTTTCTTTTTTAGGTCACATAATATATAATTCTTTTGACATACAACAAACACAGCAAAATTGTATATACTATATATATATATGAGCAATTCCGTGCAAATGTCAACCTTGCCATGAAAATTGTTTTCGTTTTTACCAAAATACGGAAACCATTTCTGGGTTTTTTGTGTAAGCAAGTATTTTACAGTACTTTAAAAATACTCAAAAATGCATCTGTCAATGTTTTCAAACTATTCTATTTGATTTACCAAAGTCACACAAATGGTAATTTCAGATGCGTCACATCCATAACAGAGAGATGTCACATCCATAACGACACTTTCCTCAGAAATGTGAAAATATTAAATAAAATAAAACCAAGCAATTTTGTTTTATAGAGAGCCGACTCTAATCTTTTTGATTAGCATTATTTCTTTTGGGTTGTGCAGTTTAAGTCACATAATTTCTACAAAGTGTGTTGTATACTGTAAACTCGCAGACTTTTTTTGTCACATCCATAACGCATGCTTATTTTCCTCATTTAAAGTACAAAACACGTTTACAGATTGATATTTTTCTGCTTCCATAACTCTGTGGCTAGTTGCTTTAGAAATATAATTAAATTTTTCAATATAATGTTAACATATACTTTCTCTGTCAATTTATGTGTTGAGTTTTTACTGCAAATGTCACATCCATAACGCTGGAATTGCTCATATATATATATATATATATATATATATATATATATATATATATATATATATATATATATATATATATATATATAATCAAGCGAAGAGAAAATGGTAGTTATCTATTTATTACTAATAATTATAATTTAACAATGAAAAGTAAGACATTATTTAAAGAAAGCTTAAATGTACTGATTTAGTATAAAGAGAAAGAATCAATAAGCATATATAAGAATGAAGTTGCATAGAGGATGTTGTCTGATCTGAGTTGTATAAGATTTCCCCAGGGATGCTGTGTATTTTTAAAAAGCAAAGCACTATAAAGGAGAGATCATCTTTAGAGATGAGGATGAGACCTTCAGGAAAGCATGTTGGGAACATCATGGAGAAACTGGTCCGTTGCCATGGTAACACTCGAGAACGAATAGCCAGTTGAGTTTAGGTATGTGCTTTAGATGTAATAATAGCTGGTATGCAAGCTGTTGTAAGTGGGAAATAGTCCCTATACTAAAGTATTTTAAGAACTGATTATGACTACATACTTCAAGGAATAGAAAGTTCAAAATAAAAGCATTACAATTACAATACAAATTTTACATAAAAACTTATAATAAATATCTCCACTGCTTTTTGATCAACTTAAAGGTGCAGTAGGTGATTGTCTTCAGAAACATTTTTTGTTGTGCTGGTTTAAAGTCTCTTCACAGTCCAATAGTAATGATTAAAGTAAGTGATTTAAATATGTTTATATGTATTTTTATATTCGGGGTAAGGCATAAAAATGTTCATCCAATTAAATATTATCAGGCCGACATCTCCCATAATTCCGATAAGTAGCTCAAACTATCTGTCAGCAAATGTAGATTCGGACTTCTGCGCATCTGTTCACGCAGATCCGCCATTTGCGCGTACCCACCTGCATGAGTGCCACGCGTTCACGAGACTATCACAGACGCGGTGAAATCAAATGCTAAATTAAAACTTTTGAAAATCCTGAATCAATATTGGAGTTACTTTTGCACGCTGGAGGAAGAACGACACCATAGCTGAAATATTACTGTTAGACAGGTATGTTCTGTTTTAAAACTATTTTAGTCAGACTAAGCTTATGTTAGATTGTGTTGTGTTATGAATGGCTTATATGCACAGACATGTTGTTTAGCCACTGAAATCTCCCCGTGAAAGATTGATGTGACTATTTTCTGCTTTATAAGGGAAATTTGACAGCATCGATTATGTAGATTTTTATTTAGTTTAACAACAAAACATCAGTAAACAGTGCTGTTCCACGTAGTCTGCTTTACTGAGGTAAAGTTGCTTTTATATTCACATTTGTTCATTTTTGAACAATGACAGCCTTCCTATACTGTTTACCATGCTATTCTGAATATTCGCCTTGAAATAGCATGTAAGTATGGCTTAGTGATAAATGTAATTCCTTCACGCCACCGGCCAAACACTAACTGGCGAATGACATGAACTAGTGGGTTGTCTGTCTGCTTTTGTGACGTGGTGCGCGCGTTCGCGATTTCAGGAGGCGTGGCTTTGAATCACAGTCCCTCCTCGCCGTCCAAAGATAATACTAAGTGGTTAGCATTTTGGCAGATCACCTACTGCACCTTTAATGTTGCTTGTTTAATAAAAAGTATTAATTTCTGAAATAAATACTTTCAAGTAGTTGTCTATTTCAGAAAAATCTAAATATCAAGAAAGATTGAAATATTTGAATTTTGATTAAAAGAAAGTAGAAGTGTCTTTTACTTGCTTTACTCAGCGGGATATTTCCATACAAACTGTATTTCCAGTCAAGAGTCTTCCTCTTTCCTGTGTTTGCACAGCAAATGGCAGGTGAGAGAAAGAGCATGAGAAAGAGAGGAGGAGCAGCACAAAAGAGGGAGACACAGTCTCAAAAATAGCTTCAGCCTGCTGATCGAAACAATGAATACAGAGCAGGAAGGAAGTTGTTAAACTGAAGGCTAATCATAGTGCTAGTCTATTCCTTCTAGTCCAGTGTAGATAGCAGTGTTAACCCAGGTCTTTGAACTCTTTGCTCTCTCTTTCACAGACAGCATCACTTACCCTCAGTGACCAGCACCTGTTCAATCAAAAAGCACTCAGATCCAAGAACAAATGTACTCTTGTTTCATCTTAGACTACACCAGTGTATTTTAGTTCTATCAGTATTTTATGAATGGAAACAATCCTCATCCATACTGGCTTTTCCACCATGTTTCCACGTACCACTGCAACACTACATTAGAAGTTGAAGGCTATGAAAAAAGAGCACAAACCTTTGGCCTATTTACAGTTATTAAAGAAATTACTTTAATTATAACACCATTCCTAATAATCTACTAATTGGCTATTAAATTGTAATAAGTACATGGATTCAAAACAGAACAAGATTAGAAAAACTGTAAATATATCTAGCTGTGCAATTTTACTGTTATTTAATAACACACAACCCATATATAGTATTTGTTTTCAAAATCCAGTATTGAATTAAGTCACATTTTAATTGTCAACAAATGAGGCAATGATATATATATATATATATATATATATATATATATATATATATATATATATATATATATATATATATATATATATATTTATTTTTTTAAATGAATGAATCAAGCACAAATTATACAGTTATTTGTTATAGTATTTGTTACAAATGTCTTGTATTAAATTGCATTACGTTTAAATTGGCAGCCGATGAGATAATGATAAAAATAAAAATATATTTATATAAAATGAATAAGACACTCTCTCAACATGAGCCGATTGTGGTCTACAAAATATTCATCAGACGTCGCATTGCTGTACTGTAAAACCGCACGACTGAAATATGCTAAAGGTGAAAGTTTGAAATATTACATACGCTCGCTGTTTGTTTGTTGAAGTAGATCAGATGTCGTTAGCTAAGCTTCAAAAAAACTTATGAATGAATGAATAAATCAAGCACAAATTATAAAGGTATTTGTTATAGTATTTGTTTAAAAAGTTTAGTATTGAATAATGTCATTTTAATTGACAGCAAATGAGAAAATAAAAAATAAAACAATTAGATTAAATGAATAAATCAAGCACAAATTATACAGGTATTGTTGTTTTGGTCTTGCCCCCTTCTGAATTAATCCCCTGTTTTCTTTGTTACATTTTGATAAATGTAAATAAACTTCTTCTTTTGTTGATTTTACCTTGTTGTTTTAAAGTCTCTATCCAATCTTTTTGATGAGTTCTCGCTCTTTTTCCAGCCATTGCACATCACCCATCACCAATCATTTTTTTTTTGTTGTGGTCACATCCCTAGACCTAAAAAGATTGCAA